TAAAAATAAACTTGAAGGAAATTTCAGAACAGTTTTGAGTAAAAAAAAAATGTTTCATTTAAAAAAACCAAACACCACATTGGCTTCCAGATTTTTTGTTTGTTTGTTTTGTTTCCTAGCCAAAGCACTTTGTTGAATTCAACTCAAATTTGCAAAATGTGTTGACCCAAAATTTTGCTCAGCTTTAGCAAGCGTATTGCTGTTTGCTTATGTTGTACTGAGCATTCATGTCAATGGAAACCTTTTAGCACAATCTAGAATTCTTAAGTTTTAGAAGGGGCAAAATTCCTATCTTGTTATTCATGCTGAGAGAAATTCATCCATAAATTTGAGTGCTCCTCTGAGGAAAATGGGTTCAGTATCTTTTAAAAACTGTGATATAACAGATGGAAGCATAGTTCTTCAGAAAGCTCCTAGGATCCATTGATAGAACTAAAAACCTCCAGAGAATGACTTGCATCCACATGGATAATTCAGTACTAGAGTTCTCATTGGAACTTTATAAAACATACTAGCTGCCAACTGCTTATTGGCCACCTCTCTAAAGGAGATTAGGAAGTCATATACTTTTAATCTTCAAAGCATTTTACAAATAATAATGTGTGTTCCTGACAGACTACAGTTAAGCCATTTTCTAACAGCAGAATATAAATGCTGAGGTTCCATCCACAAGGAATGTAGAGATGTTAATCTGAAATTGAAGAAAAGTTATATCTTTGAACAAGAATCTGCTGCTGTGACTTCATAAAGCGTAAATTGACCCGGTTTAAATCACTTCTCTCCCTGCCCCTTTTGCTTCCTAGAAATTCTATTTAAATCTCTTATGCTCTTCACACTAGAGAATTTTCCAGCAAATTGGAGACTAACTGGCCAAAACATTTGGCAAATGAGAGCTTTTATACTTTGTGGAGGTAGGTTTTTGGATAATTATCTAAAAAAGGCTCTATTAATTCCGAATCTGTCTTACTCACCTAGTCTTAATGAAAACTGAACCTTTACAAAGTTTAAAAAGTCTAAAGCAAAAAATTTCAAAATTTGTCAACGCATCACTAATCTTATAAAGTCTGTGATGCTCAGTCGGCACAGATAGGTTTGCTGACATTTGTTCAACCGCAGTAAACAAGGGACACTGATTTATTAATTTACTGTCTAGAATGTAGTCTGCAATAGATAATTCCACAGAAAATACCATCTCTTTCCCTTGATCGCTGAAAACAAAGGCAAGTCACAGACCAGAAAATCTATCAAGAAGGGGTTTAAGGGTGTGAATACAAGTTACAAAAATTTTAAAAGTAACACCATAGGTAAGTGTTTGGAAGCCAGTAAATTCCAGATTTAAAAAGGAACATTTTAAAAACCCTGGTGCTTCATGATTGGGGTTTCAAATTGACTAACTTTGGCTGTGTCCGGGTGCTAACTCAGTGTAACTAACATCTTTACACCTAGCCATCATGCAATATTACTACTGTACTTCCAATGGAATATCAGCTACAAACCCTTGCTTACCATACTGGGTAAATTTTTCAGAAGGGGCCAGGAGCCAAAAGCCCATTGATTTTTAACAACACTCAAACTCCTACATTCTTAAGTCACTTTTGAAAATTTTACCTATTGTAAACACAAATCTACAAACATCTTGTATCCTTCACCATGGGCCATCAGCTCAAATAAGATCATCTCCGCTTCAACCATATTGGCAGCAAAATAAAGTTGCTGACATTTTACTACCAACATGGTTTGTATTCCAGAAACTTACTGAGCATGTCAGCCCAAGTTATATAATGATTGCAATGCCTTTTTCTTTGCCTCTTGACAGAACTCAGAAACTGCACCATAGAAAAGTATTCCTGCATCTCCTGCTGAAAGTAAAATTCACATTACAAGACAACACAAATCCAAGTCTCCTGTCAGTACAGCATGGGACAGTGTAAAGCAAGTGGGTGGGAATGCTGGTTCAAAATGAAAGTTGAAGTCTTAGCTATAAATCTTTCCTGTTTTTAAATATTGATTATGACTTTCCAATAGTTTGTCATTATTATCTTTTAATTCCATCACTGAGAGATGTCAATTCTTTTCAAATTAAGACTATATAAAAGTTTGAAACCATAAGAATTGACATCTGCCTGCTGTTATTGATGCTGCTGTCTCAGCATTTTGTTGATACTTCAGACTGATCCAGCTGCTGGGAAATTAGTTGAGACTAGTATTTATAGCTTACCACTGAAATGCATCATCAAGTTTGTTTATTTGATTTGAAGTACTGATTGGCAAAGTCTTTGGATTTTAAAAGAAATTTGGCAATTTAAATTTAACAGAAGTTCTTCCTTTGAAACTGCCTTTGTGTTCCAGTGGTGAGCTGCATTTTCTCTACATCAAATGATCATAATGGTAGCTTTAGAGCACTTACTATGTGATGTGATTTTTTTTTTTTTAAATAGTTAGCTGTTTGTAGATGTAGCCTTTGGAATCTCATTGCAATACAGCAGGATTTGGTTTTGAGTAGAATACCCATTTACAATATTTGAGAACGTCCCAGAATACATTTAAAATAGCTTTTTAAAAATATGCACATGAATACTTCACCATTAAAAATGTGGGATGGGGGGGGGGAGGGGGGGGGAGAAGAGACTGACAAACCAGGAGGGAAGTCTCCCCACAGCAATTGCCAACTTGGTTCCCAAGCTGTGTTGCTTTAGAAGGCAGTAGGATTATGAAAATGAACATTTCTATTTATACACAAGCTTACAGAGAGATAGCAAGTGACTATGGATCAGTGTGTGTATACATTTTACAATAAATATTAATGCAACATTAAGATAGAGAATCAAGGACTCATTCGTCAGGTAATGCAGAGCTGAAGTTGAAAATTCAACCTTGTTAGGTACCTCATGCAGCTATAATTGAAGTCTAAAATGTAGCCTTCAGAGAAGTGTGTTTATTATCCTTCACTAGTGCCTGGTGCATGAAGTTTAACAAGCAGCATATTTAAAAAAAAAAAAAAATCTGTATCTAGTCTTTGCTTCCTGTTTTTTGCTGGATTCTCAGAGAAGTCCCAGATTGGGAATGCTAAATCCTTAGTGTGTTGGGGCGAGGGAGGTCTGAGCCTTAACAAAAGGCACTCATGCTATTTGTTAGGCATTTGAGTTCAATTGAGGAGAAAATTTTATATGGGTTGCATAGAACTCGTTTTTCAACACCTAATCACGTTTTACTTCCTTTGCATCTCTGCTATCATAAACCAATTAATGCTCCAGTTTAGAGACTCGATCAGAAAAATAGAATAGACAAAACTTGATTTTTTTAAACGTGAAAAAACAAGAAAAAAAAAAAAAAAGAGACTCGGACTTCCTTTAATCATACAATAAAGCAGCAGAAAGGTACAAACCTTTCCACCCTTTGGAAGTCGCCTTTAAAATTATTGAAAATTTGGTCAAGTACAAAATACAGTATAAACTATTTTCTACACAACATATGAACTGTTTGAACTGCTGTTTAAGATTCTTGGCTTGCAACTTTTGTAGGAGGTAAGAGGAAACGAGAAGCAAGTGTGGGGTTAAAGGAAGCAATGAGGAAGATGGAGAAGGAATGTATATAGCCAGTCGAAATTCTACCAATGTTTTTCCATTTGAAACATCTTTAGCTATTGTGTTCTCCACTACATACAACAATTGACATCTTTCAATAATCTGAGAGATTGATTTAACTGTATCACACTATATCAATGCAAGTCAACTGTCAGACCCTACTTCTAGAAGAACTGCTTTTGGTAGAAGTCATCTTTATCTGAAGAAAAAATTTGAAGTGAGATGGTGACCCCTTCTTATTCTACAGGCTTTTAGAGACCTAAATCTATTCAGCTTTAAGGCCCGAAAAATGAAATAAAAGATTTCCAGATTTGCATGCATGCACACACCTTGCACTTGGTCAGTCTTGGAATTTTATTTGCCAGGCTAGGGAAGGTTTCAGCCAATAAGCTGGAGTTGATATAACTGGATATATAGAACAAGGAATGGAAGTGATAGCACCTAGCACTTATGTAGCGGTTTTCATTTGTAGATCTCAAAATGCTTTACAAAAAGAGGTGAGTATCATTATATCCATTTTACCAGTGGGGAAATGGAGGTATAAGGCGACGAAGTGACTTGCTCAAGGTTGTCCATCAGGCCCTAGCTTCAGAAGAAAGTATCTTCATATAGGTTCTTTGCTTTCAGACCAAAATAGAAGCCTTACAAAAATGCATACAGGGAAACTTCAAAATAAGGTTGCCTATTTAGGCAGAAGACACAGCATATTAATCTGCATAAACTGCTGATGGAGACAGATGCTGACCTAACCAAAATATGTATGCCTTGAGACAGATTCCCCTGAAGCATGTGTGTTAACCAGATCTCTGTTAAGTTCAGATGCAGACTACTGGCCTGATCTGGCATCAGAATTCGCTAGTATTGCACCTATGCATAGTTGATTAGAGACAGCGAGGAGTCTGCAATGATCCAAAAGGTTAATAAGTCCTGGTTGTATGATTAGCCTATGAGTGTTATACCTAACTGATGAATAACCATCCAGTTGAAACCTACCTTACTTTTGTAAGTATACCGGATTTATTTTGATTGTGTGTAAGAATTGTGATACTACTATTATTTCCAAGAATATATTGTTTAGAAGTGTGGAATAATATCAGATGGGGATTTTTGATTTTATGATTAAGACAAAAGTAGTGAGCACTGCAGTAAAAACAGAAGTGAAAATATTTAATGCTTGTTTCAATGTCACTTAAATGTTTAACTTCTGAATGGATTTATTTGCACACACCAATAGGCAAAATAGGCATGACTGACATTTTCATTACATGATTCACCCAGAACATAGTATAATTTAGCTATGCTAACAGAACCTACGAAAGTCAATTTATGTGCCCAAGAACACCAAGTGAAAACTTGTGGATACATCGTGAATAACCACAGCAAAAAAAAAAAAAAAAAAAAAAAAAAAAAAAAAAAAAAAAAAAAAAACCACAGACTCATTACATTCTTTAAAGTGAATTTAGTGCTTATGAGAAGTGCCAGATAGCACTGGAAATGGAAGATCTCCATCTACAAAGTAAAAGCAGTGCAAGATTTTCCACACCTCCTCTCCAGGGTACTTCAATCTTGACCTGAATGGATAACTTTTATGGTTGAAAGGACAGTTCAGCTCCATGCCCATGCAATTCTTTGTGTGTCTGCTGAGACTGAACAGTTTCAGTTAGTGCCAACTGACACTCATCCAAGAGTAACAGGACTGAGCTCATTTCACACCCATCACTGACTAGACAGCTTTTATCTACTAAACACCTGAGCAGAATTTAAACTAGTGACCTAATGGTGAAAAGCTCATTATGCTATTAGTCATTTGAAATATTTAGTCCCCAATATGGCTTAACTAGGCTAAGAGGTGGTAGCCAATAAGCTGAAATTCACAGAGCTACAAATCTGTATTTTGAAGAAAACCAAAGACAAACCAAAGCTCAAGATCATTCTGGCAGTGTAAATGAGTTCTACTTGTATTAGACACAGGAACAAAAATGATTATCTTCACATTTATGAGACAACTGCACTAAGTGAACACCGGCATCTAAAAATCATTAGGTTTCTAAATCATTCAGGAAATGTATTAGCTATTTACAGCAAAAAACATTCATCATGCACTTTACAAAACAATGACAGCACTCATTTATGGCCTTGTCCACTTGCAAAAGAATTCATTCTGCAGGCAAACATTATAAAATATTGCTCAAAGAGTCATAAAAATATATTATCTCTTTCCTTTAACATTTAGGTATATAAATATTTTACTGAAGAACATGCATCATTTAGATAATTGCAAGAATGCCTCCTATAAACATATGGTTCTTTGACATTTAACAATATAAAATGATTACATGGTAAAGTAGCTATTAAAGTCAAGAATTCAACCCAAATTTGCAAACCAATACTGTAGAGAACAGTCCCTTGTGTACAAATCCAGAGATATATCAAGGCACCTTTTATAACAGGTTACATAATAAAGGCTAATGAATGCATTGTAAATGCAAAAAAACAAAGAACAAAAAAACCCAGATCATTCCACCTGCACAGTCTTCCATCTTGTCTGGACTCCAAACTTACTGTTCACTTTTCTGTTCTTGTTTCCCATCAAGCTCTTGGTCAATTCTGTTTAATAAAAAAAAATGTTAGAATATAAATTACAATTTCAGTAGTCTTACTTTCTATATTAGGCAAAAAAGCTGATCTTAATAGGAGAATTAAAGTTTTTAATATAGAAAAGGTTTTTAGTAAATATCATTCAACTGTTAAAAAAAAAAACTCAGTGAAGTAGGTTCAGTTACAGCAAAATGTTAAAGATCCACCTTGTTATTGCCCCTAAAATTATAGATTTTAAAGACGGGTCAAGAAGTGTTTTCAAGCAACAATAGATATGGTATTTGGAAGAAAAGTATTAGGAAAATGAAATATCAAATTTGGCCATGTTGCATGTTCATTTATTAATAAAGTGACTAGGATGTAAGCCTCTAAGACATGCAATAAAATGGAAGACAGTTTTAAGACCAGAATGCAGTTTATATTAGAGAACATGAGCCTATCAAAACCGTAAACTATGGGTTTAGGTTTTTTTTTTTTTTTTTTTTTAAGAACAGCTTTATTAAATATTAAGCTGAAAGAACAGTGTGGTTGTGCCAACACAATTTCCTTTACTACCTACATTTTTAAAGTTTCACAGAATTGTTTTCTAAACAATTAGTACAAATAACGTGCATTGTATTGATCCCTGCTATTTTGAAATAAGTTGTATTCAATTAGTTACTATATATAGTTAGATTTATTAAAAATATGGAATGCATTCTTTGTATCTAGTCTGTGTGTATGCAGGATATCAGACAGCACTTTAGAGGCACTCGGGTAAACATGTGCGCTATTCAGCTAGGATGCAGTGTGGTCTAGCGCACTGAACATGGTACTGTGTAGACCTAGATTCTATTCCTGGCTCTGAGCACTGACTCTTTGGGGAAGTCATTTAGTCTCCATTCCTCTTAGCTTTCCCTCTGCAAGATGAGGAAAATGATTGGTTATGGGGTTGGGGTTTTTTTTTCTCCTCTCTCTCCAGGGGAGGAAGACTCTAGGCCTACTATGCATCCTCTTACTTAATCAACTGGTGAGTGAAGGAATCTACATCAACAATTTCTGCATAATTTAAGTTTTCTTTTAGTGAAGTTTCTGGCTCTTATGGCTGCTAGGAGAACCTCTGAAGTGTGAACTGACATGTGCTGTCCTGCTGAGCGTGCAGCCAGCTTCAGTCCACGGTTTCTCATGACATTCCCAAAAAGCGGAATGAGGTTAACAAGACTCGAGTAAGTTTCTGCCTACAGGATTCTGAACAGCAGCTGTGAAACTGACAAGAACACTGCCAGTTTCACTATGTTGCAGCTAGGGAAAGATATGAACAACAGTGAAAGTACTTACAGAAAAGTGACTAAAAAAGGCTTGGGAAAGGAGTAGAGTAGCAAACAAACACCCTTCTTACTCTCCATCAGCCAAGAGGCTCTGAAGTTGGAGGATGAGAAAAAGCTCCTTCCAAGCAGCTAGAAAGGGACAACAGTTTTTAAATCCATCAGCCAGAGACCCACAAAAGAGAACAAGGTGCTGTCCTTGCTTATGAATCCCAGTGCCCTCTCTGTTTCCAACAACTGGGGCAGAGTTACTGGCTTCTCACCAGGCCATTGTCCACTGACACGTCTGGTGTGCGTGGGCATTCATCTTTCATGCTACCTAAGCCTACTTCACTTAGTTCTCTGGCTAGTAAATACCTAATAAGGTTTTCAAGCCCAGACAGAGCTTTCCTTTGAGCTTTATGGATTAAAAGTGCCATGTAAGCACTAAATGCTTCAATTACAATTATGACAGGCAGAATTAAAGTCATATACTATGATCAGATATATTCAAAAACTAAATTGAAAGGGAAAAATATTTGGGTTTGTGACAGTATTTATGAGTGCATTTTACCAACATTCCTGGCTAGTCGTTTCAGAGGAACCTACCAACGGATTTAGAATTCTAGACCCAAATACTGTAGACACTTACATGCTTAACTTTACAGATCAGCAGTCAATTCTTCAGTGAGACCACTTCTGTACATCAAGTTATTTTTTTGCAGGACTGCAATCCAATCTGTAGTACCCTGGCATGTAGCCAATTCTGGGACTCAAATTGTTAACCAGGCAAAATTTATCAGGATGTTGACAAACGACAAACAGGGAATAGGTTATAGCCAACTTTGCGTTTCAAATACTCAAATTAATATTTGTGTGCAGAAAGATGGTCACCTAACACTTGAGATATTTGTATTTTTCATCTCTGCACACTTCTAGCTACATCAGGGATCGACAACCTTTGGCACGCGGCCCGTCAGGGTAAGCCCTGGCATGTTGGGCTGGTTTGTTTACCTGCCGCATCCGCAGGTTCGGCTGATCGCGGCTCCAATGGCCGCAGTTCGCCGTCTCAGGCCAATGGGGGCTGCATGAAGTGTGGCCAGCACATCCCTCGGCCTGCGCCACTTCCCGCAGCCCCCATTGGCCTGGAGCAGCAAACTGCAGTCATTGGGAGCAGCGATCGGCCGAACCTGCAGACGGTGCAGGTAAACAAACTGTCTCAGCCCGCCAGGGGTTTTCCCTCACGGGCCGCATGCCAAAGGTTGCCGATCCCTGAGCTACATAGTACCAAAGACATTGTTGCAATGGAAGTTTCCAAAAAACGCACCTCTCCAAAGTTCATTTACATATACTAAACTGCATTCTAAAATTAATGAAATAAGGGTAGAGGTTCCATAAATAAACCAACAAAGGAAATGGTGAACATAATGCATTGCCTAAAACACCCAGTGACTTCATTTAAGACTATGATTGTACTTTTGTCATCAAATAACAATTCTGGCTTAATCTAATGGCTCAACGGCTTCAAATTTTACTTAAAGCAATTACTTTTTCACAAGGGCTTTTACTGTACATGCTTACTGCATATAGCATAATCTGATGAAAGGGGGAAAAAAAGGAGTCCTCTCTCCCTTAGCCATTTGCTCTTTGGCTTTTGCATCAAATAAATGGTTTAATTGACTAAGACTGTTCTCTGATGTTGATATAGTCTTTGGTGAATGCAGTAAAAAAGGATCCACAGCTCCAATGCTATGGTAGTAATACCCGCAATAGCTGAGGCGGCCATATTTTCATGCATTTAATATGTTATTGTTTGGGCTGAATATTCTACACCAAAAGTGATTGGGGGGGGGACGGACTTTGATTTGGCTGTTTCAGATAGTACATAAAACACCGAAATCTGAAGAAATAGGGCTTAGAAACTGCACAGCTGTATCTGAAAGTGTTGCTCTTTACTTGCACAGTATGTTATTCTGTAACACTTCTCAATCCAGTAGCAGAGTAGAGCATGTATTTATGTGATCTCTCATTGTTTCTTTTAAAAGTGAGTTAAGTAATTCCCAAAGGAAATGATGTACATCAAGTGTAACAGGATACTGGCAACTTTAAACCAAAAGAATCCACAATGATATCTGACGAATTTTTAATTACTGTTATTGCAGTTAACTACCATGATTATTATAACATACTATGGGAGGAAAAGCACTTCTGTTGTCAAATACACAAAGTAAACACTATCTAGTTAGTTCTATTTTTACTCCGCTATAATCAGATTTTCACACAGCAACGTAAAAGAAACATTTGGAAAAAAGTGATTGTAGGTGGAATATTGAGGGGAGGGACTCCGAGTATGTTGAACCTGAGACCTGAAATTTAAAGTGGATATCCCTTTTAAGGGCTCAATTCTATACCCACTGCAGTCCATGGCAACCCTTCCCGTGGAGTAGAACTGGGTCTATAGACAGTCAAAATACCAGACATTAACAAGGTGAAGCAAGTTAGAGTTGCTGTGAGAACTGTAACTGAATTTTCTGTAGTTGGTACCTTTATAATCTCAGCTATAATATTGCAGAATTAAAGTTTACAGTTTTTCATACAGACTGACAGTTTTATGCTTTTCCACTAGCTTTTTACTTTGTTTTTTTATGAAAGCTAGTAAAATACATAGGGAAAAGTTATTTCTGACAGGTTTAGTTCTTAATACCTTCTCTCTTTTCCATCTTCCTACTTACAATGACATGTTTACAGAAAGTGACTTGTCCCTAAACAGTTTATTGTTATGCACATAGCAGCAGGAGTGCTCAGAATAAAAGTTTAAAGCTGGAAGCAGAGTGTTTTAGTGAGGTTATTGGTAGACATACTGAATGGTGATTACTCATTTGTTTTAAGTATTTTTATCAGATGCAAGAATTGCTTGAATTGTTAGCAGGCCACTTAAGTTTCAGCATACAGAAAATCCAATATTAATTAGCAAGGAATCTAGGCACTGCAAATACAAACAGCACTGAGCAAAATATAAACTAATTTAGGGCCTGTGCAAGTTAGATATCTTGAAAATAACTGAAATTAGTGAATACTGAATAAAGCAAGATAGAAATTCTAATCCTGAAATTTGTAAGAAGTTGTTTTGCAAGTAACTTCTACAATTGTAGCAGTTTGGCATCTAGAAATTAACTAAGCATTCAAACAGTTACGTATTCTGAACAATAACAAATTTAGTTTGTTGAAGCAGGTTCAAATATGCATACGACTTTTTGCCTTTTTGAAGATGCAGCTCAAAGTCAATACATCCCCTTAATAAAAGCATCTCTGAAGTGATAAAATATTGACAGATTACAAACCCATCCATGGTTTACACTTCTATGTGGAGCTCTCTTACAAGTTATATTTACCGTAACTACTTCAAAACTCAAGCTTAGTCATTAGTGCGTGTTTATATTTACAAATGCTTGTTCATGTCTGCAAGCCAACCAATTGGGAAAGAGTTAGTTTGTGCAGTGCAAGTGGTCTTGTCTAGATGCATCCCTAAGTAAGGTGTGCATATATACCTTTTGTGTTTCTTTCTAAACTTTTCTTCTTCATACCTTAGTGGGGAAAAGTTTGATTTCAGTAAGTACAAGATATGAAGGCCAACCAAACTCAAAAACAACAAGTGTTAAATGTTCTTCATGGAAACACAATATCAAGTCTTGAAACTAGCATAGTTATTTAGAGAATAAAATCATGAATATATACTAGTTTTAAATAAAATGCAGAACTAGTAGAGATTTAGTTGCTGTGTGGTAACAGTAGTAACATACACTATTTAGTCCATTCTGATCTACCTCAAAATCCAGAGACCTTATGACCTAATTTTGAAGTACAGCTCAAAGTGTCATATTCTCCAACATAGAAGTATGGCAAAATGTTCTGGTATATACGTTGCCCTGTGGACCAGCAAGCTTGGTCTCTGCGGAAGATCAGTGCTTGATGCAACCAGCTGCAATAATGATCAAGGCTGTCTTGTAAACCTTAGGAGGACATAAGTCTGTTCATTTCGTAAATAATCTCTAGCTACAGAAGCGTCCTCCTTCAAATCCTGTGCTTTTGAAGGGAATTTGTTGTAGGCAGTGTCAGATTTACAAGTTTATGTTAATTTTGTGCCTTTTCCACAGAAAGCCACATTCTGCATGTGTTACAAAAGGTTCAGTTTTGCAATTTGTACCAGCTAGACATTTATCCCTGGCTATGTCTACACTACCGCAGTAAGTCGACCTAAATTATGCTACTCCAGCTACGTGAATAACGTAGCTGGTACTCCAGCTACGTGAATAACGTAGCTGGAGTTGACGTAGCTTAGGTTGACTTACTGACTCCACCGCTCTGGGTTGACGCGAGACCTTACTCTTCTTGTTCGGGGTGGAGTACTGGGGTTGACCAGAGAGCAATCTGCGATTGATTTGGCGGGTCTTCACTAGACCCGCTAAATCAACCCCCGGTGCATCGATCGCCAGAGCGTGGAGCCGGCTGTAGTGTAGACATCACCCGTGTCAGCCTTTCAACAGCAACACATGCCTTGTGACCATGAGGTGTGATTATTCTAATACCTTCCTTATGTGACTTTCAGTTCAAAGTAATAAGCAACATTGCCATTACATTTTGAGTGAGCTAAAAGCAAAGGCGCACCCTTACTACCCTAGATTCTTTAGGCCAATTGCCTATGAAGTAGAAGTTCAACTTCAAATTATCACCATAGGCTCTTAGGATCTTAACTATTGCTCTGGATGCATCAGCTCTACTTTGTGAGCATTGTGCTATTGAGTACCCACACAAAGCCTGGTGCTAAAAAATTCCACCATCATACCTCAAGCTGGCAGGCAGATGTGTTTCTCCTGTGGTGGGCCAATTGGTTTGGAAAGCACCCCTTTGACAGCTCTTATTTCATTGATCTCCACTTCAAAAAAGGCCTTAAAGCTGCCCCTCCTTCCAAGGATTTTTTGAATCATTATTGTAAGGCTTATGTTTATAGTCTTTTCCATCTCCCCTCTCATTGTCAAATGGATTCCTTATTTGTTTGTTATATATTTGATTGCTTAGACTGTTTTGCTTTTATTCTGCTGTGCAACACCTCAAATGCTTTGGCTGAGTACTACATAAAAAGGGGCTTATAATGTTAGCACCTGCAAGACCAGCATTTCTCACAATAGCAAGTCAATTTAAATACCAAAGAAAAAGAAGAGTTTCATAGAGGTCTTTTGTGCATTATGATTTTATGATTCCACAAGACTAGTTCATACTCAGTATAATGTAGCAATTATATAAACCATAGAGCTAAGTATTATTTCATTGCCATGCTCTGGGTACCATTATGTTGCTGCATGCAAAGTAGAAATTTAACACCATCACAACTCTAGCACAGAGAGAGACTGTCTCTTGACAGCAAGGGTCCCACTCTTCTAGATTAATGCCAATTTATAGACATGTTGAAAATCAACATAACACAAATTAATAAGTTTTCACATTTGTGCTCTATACCAAGCACACCTTTGCATGTTTGAATAAAACGTACTGTTTTATGCATTCTGGTATGCCAACATATTCCATGGGGATGAGTTCAGCTAGCTCTGCCAGGGTAAAGACATATCTAATTTTTTGGCTGAATTTTGAGCTGTGGAAGAACAAATGTAAAGAACAATTACTAAAATGTTGAGTACATCTTTAAATATTAAGTATTACTTGCTGAAATTTAAGTACTAATACATTTGTACTTTCTTTAAATGAAGTAATTTCCAGAATATTACCTAATAAAAGGTTTTGTGATGGCCAGAAGTGTTCTGATAAACCAAGAAGGATGAACTATTATTAACGATTTCAGGTTTTTCCTTAACCTAAAGAATTCAAGTATTGAACACCAGTGTTAAGGAACAAAATGAGTCAAAAAAGCAATGCATATTTAATATAAAAAAGTACAAGTGTTCAGTTATTGTATAATTGCCACTTCTGTGTCATATGTAATCTAACTCCTAGTGAACAGACACTCCATTGTCATCTTCTTGTCTACCAAAGTTGAATAAAAACTAGCAAAACCATGTTATGTTGAATTTGTCATGAATAGACAGTTGGAGTATCAGATTGTGATGAGAAAGAACTAAGAAAAAGTTAGCCAGTGAAGAGGTTTTTGACCAAATGTTAGTGGTATGTCTCAAGGACCAATATAGCTAACTCATGCTTCCACACGTTTTAACAACCTTTCTCCAAGACAGGAAAGAGTGAGGTTCACTTGGGAAATGGGTATCTGTATAATGAATGAGATAAAGGGCAATAAGGAGAGGAAAGTGGAAAAGGGCTGCTTTAACGATGATATGCGAGACCAACACCAATGTGTTTTTTGGGGGAAAATGGACTGCTAACAGCAGCTTCTTCAATATTTTGGCATCTTATACCCCATCTAACATTGCAGAGTTGCGTATCCACTTGTCAGATAAGTAGACTCTTCAGCCAATAAGAAATTTCAAATCCAGATTTGGTGTATAAAACTCCCTCCCCCCCCTCTCCCCCCCCAATTTGTGCAACCCCCACAGGATAAATGTAACCTAACTGTAAGCTCAGCAAATGGGGTCTGCTTAGGCTTTTACTGTTAACACTCATGGGAAGAGTTCAGCTGGAAAGAAGCATTTTTTGCTGCCTCTTACTACAGCTGTGCAAGAGGTTACAAGTACCTTTTCATTCTAACTAGTCTTTCCTTTTACAGTTGACATTGACCTGTTCAACAGTGTTACAACTTTCCTGCAAGATTATTCAGGAAGCTCACTTTAAATAAGACTATACAGTACACTGTGAAACCTTTATTCAGTAGTATTTCACAAGGCAATTGTACGATAGATGGAAATACAGTGTTGACAAGCATTTTCATTTGAAATTAAATGAAATTCTCCAGCAGTATTTCTGCCTTGGAGCTTCAGTGCCTAAATCATACAAGTGGGAAACAGGACAATTGTTGCAGGGTTCAGCATTATCCAAAGCCTCGCAGACTTAAATTCACAATATGCTAATTAACAATTTTCACAAAATATAGATAATGACAGAAAAGTGATAAAGAGATTTCTACATATTATTGTAATAGAATTTATCTTACCTTCTATCGATTTGCTGGTAACATTTCCTGAGCCAGCCTAAACTTGGCATTTTTCTCCGTGTTGTAGCACCATTTAAGTAAACTATCATATAGTTCTCTGCTACTAACAGTTCTAAAGTGCCAATAACATATCTGTAATAACAAGTAAGGAAAAAGCTTTCAAATGAAAAACTGAGTGACAGTTAATGTGCAAATGAAAGAATTTATATTTTGATAAAGGCTCAAAGGCTACAGAAAAAAAATAATCACAGAATTAAATGTCTTAGCCTACTTTGGTATTTCCCGAATATAAAATTTCATGTAAAAAGCAGAAGAGGCTGGTAGCCCTTTTTGCATTGATGGAACTCTACTAGGAGATCATTTACATCATTTGTGGACAATTCTTAATGGCAAAAAGACTACTTACTTAAATAGATTATCCATTAGATATCTGTAGTTAGGCTGACTGCTTTCAGGCATATAGCAAACAGCAAACACAACAATGGCATTTAACCCATCGCCATAATAACCTAAAAGGGAAAACAAAAAATTAATAGCAATAAAGTAAAAAACAAAAGTAAAAAGTAATGGAGAAGTCTGACTATACTGATCAAATTCTATAGTAGTAAACACTGCACTTTCGTGCTTTTTCATCATCTATTTCCAAGTGCTTTACAGATGAAATAATGGAGGCACAAAAAGGCTAAAAAGACACCATCCATTTTAAAAACGCGTGTCTGATTTTTTAAAAAATTTACTGTTACTCAGATAGCTAAAGTTTACTATAAATGAAAGATGCTCTAATTTCTATTAGCATGTTTAGTTTATGTATTTTACAACATTTGCATGTAGTCAATTTCCCTTCTGAATGGATTTTTACATACACAACAGGGGAAGACAGACATTAAACTGGACAGTGATTGTAAAACCATAAAAGCTGTTATGGAGTCTACAAAGGCTGCGATAGCACCCAAACCAATATTTAATTTTTTTTAAAACTGGTTAAATTGGCAATCCACATATTGAAATGCTGATAACTACTCTGTCACTACAGCAAATGTTCAGTCTGGAAGAGTTAAATATACTCCACACGTTCTGTTCTTTTAATTTATTTTAACAGTCACCTCTCTTTTTTTGTCCCATTTTGGGTTTCACTAGTTAAAAAGGTACAATTCTATCTTCATCAAGACTGGGGTAGCTTTCTTTTAAGCCAACATCCCTAATATACTCATATGCCTTGCTACTGCAGGTCATGACATGGAAGATCTGGAAATTCCTCAATACTTACACCTTAACACCACTTACATTTGTCCCCCCTCCCATTCTGTTGGGTGTTGTAATTTATAGGGGCTACCCCTCAGCCCAGGTCATTAATCCTTACCTCCGTGGCTGATAACTTTTTTATAGGGTTCAATTGCCTTCATGTCCACCCTGTGATCCTGTTCTCCAATCCTGAACATACGCCAGCGTCGCCCATCATCTCTCTCCTCTGCAGCAGTGTATTCAGGAAGCGATCCTTTTCTCATTACTTCAGTAGTTTTTGGTTTTGGAAGATCATCTGTCAACATTAAAATACACCTATTATGCATGATGATCTTTAACATGACAGTACCAATCAGATTGCAAGTTAACCACTTCACTCCGTTTGGATTATTATAACTTTCTATATGATCAGCCAGAAATACCTGACTTAGTTCCATCACTAGAAAATACTGTGTTAGAGGTCTCTCTATACAGTATGCTGATAAATATTGGGCTCTTGGCTGTATTTTATATGAAGCTGTCTGACCACTTAAATTTCTGGATATGTAGAAGGCCTTTTAGGGAAAGTACATATGCTTCTAAACGTTCGTTACCATAAATGCTGCCAAATTAGATACGAAGTGGTTAACTTCAATTATTATGTTTTGTTTGATCAGAGATTTACATGGTAAAGCATAATTTAATACATTGATAATAGCTGGTAAGCAGACATGCAAATAAATCTTGTAGAAATTAAAGCTAACTAATACATATGTTCAAAATAATTGAAATTTATGCTAAAAAGAGCAATCTTCAGAAAAGATTTTTCTAATAAAATCATGATTCTTTGAATTTTAGTTGCACAGACCTTACCAAAAGTGAGAAAAACCTACTGCATGTTAGTTGTCTGTTTCCAAGACAAAGCTGTTAATGGAAACTATCCTTCCAGGAAAATGAAGACAGCAGCGTTAAAGAAAGAAAAGACAGAAACCCTTTTCAGCAACTTTTTGTAATAAATTAACTGGTATATTTCCTGAATCATGTTATAAAGTTATCCATTAACACCAAACCATATTCCTTAAGGCAGTAAAATATGGCCAGCCCACCACACACTTACACCCATATATTTCCTACTCTCACTTCCAACACATTTAACTTAATCTAAGATGCTTAAAAAAATTTAAGCTTTTTTAAAAATTGTTTCCTGGTTCACGTTAGTCTTACCTTCCCTGCCAAAGGATTTTTTCTCCTCTGTCCTGTTATTTTACATGCAGTAGCATTCCTATTTATGCAAGAATGAATTAATCTCTTACAGTACAATAGATGTACCTAATAGGAACAAGCTTTTAGCAATGTTAAAGAATTATGTATTTAAAATTTCCCTTGACACTTTAATAGGTACATGCTTAAAGCAAGAAGAGAAATTATCAGAACAATAATGAAATATAGATAATTGTCAACTTTTGTATAAATTGTTAAGAGTCCCAATGCCAGACAGAAGGATTCTTGAAAGATGTCCTTTAATTTAACCATATTTTAATAACATAAAATTCACTTAAATTTAGGTCCCAATCCTGCAGTCTGATCCTTACATGTGGATTTCTGCACCCATGTGGAGCCCCATTGAATTAATGGAGATTTGGTACAGGCATAAGAGTTCACCTACAGGAATCAGACTGTGGGATCAGGGACTTACTTCCCAATTTTAGAGCAACCATATCCAGTTAAATAGAACTTTAGAAGTCCAACTGGAAATGAATTTCCTGTTGTTATCTTAAAGAGTTTAAATGCAAAGTCAGAAGAGTTCCCTGATGATGCACAATGAGGCTGTATGCGTCCCCCTTCCATGACCACTATTCTGAAACTGAAAAGCAAACTGTTAATTGAATTCTGTAAAAGCTATTGACCATTTGTCTTGCTTATTATTGAACCAAGTGATCATGTGTTACGTTAATCAATTTTCAAATGTTGCCCACATATTTTTTAAATGGTAGTTTACATCTTTTCAGCAATTTTTTATATTGCAAAAAGGGAAAAGTAGCTGCTCCTTTTTTGTCTTATATGAACTAGTGATTGATTTAAAAAATAAAATAATTAAAAAAAAATCATGGCCAACCGAATACTCAAAGAAAGAAAGTGTAGTAGTAATTACCATCCCATAAAACTAATTTCTCTCCTTTGAAAAATAACATGTATTAAAATTATATGGTCCATCTCCTAACCAATTCAGAAGTGTGCCCTACAGTTCATTTTCTAGCATTCTGTTCAGTCCAGTTTTGGAAATACAAAGTCTCCATCAGTGACAATTCTGTAACTTAATACGACTTTCACATAGATTCTTATGATATTCAGCCTAAAAAAAAGTATTGGTTTTAATTTCATCCAATCACGCTAAATAAACTTGTCCCTTGTTTGCTATTCTGGCCAACAGTCTTTATAAATCCATACTGCCTATTTTTCATGACTGAGTTTTCCACTAGGTGTCTAATGATTCTTAATAGTTTGCTTTCCATCTCTAAACTTCTGATTCTTGGAACCTGCTAGCTCTCATCATGCACATCTGATTCTTTAAATCTTCTAGCTCTAACCCACATGAAATACTGTGTACCTGAGCATAACCATCAGAAAACATCTACTTAAAATACCAGACAGAAGCAATGAACCCTTACCTTCCCATTCAAACTCATTACTGTTCTCAGATGGAGTATCTAAATCATCCAAATCGACCTCTCCACTCTCATCTAAGTCATCAGACAACACCGATTCCTCACTGTGATCCAGTGTTAAGCTAATATCTGGAGCCATTAGTTTCTTCCTAACTTTGTTTCCATTCACTTCTAATGGGTTTGGAGTAAAAGAAAAGGCAGGTTACTTAATTTGTAGAATACCAAGTATGTAGACATGTTTATAACAAATCGGAAAAAAAACCACAGCCCAGTGCTTAGAACAAAAAAGTCTCATTAATGCTCATCACCTCACAAACAACAATATTCCAATCACCTCCCCCAAAATACATCAATAGAATTTTAAGGTTGCAAGAATCAGTGCTCGAGAGTCCAGAATTGTCTAGTTAAGGTTGTAGATGGTCCCTTAACTGTGCCCACTGGTGTATACATATGATAGTCTTTCATTATATGCAGTCTTGCTGTAGCTGTGTTGGTCCCAGGATATGAGAGAGACAAGGTAGGTGAGGTAATATCTTTTATTGGAGCAACTCCTGTTGGTAGAAGGTACAAGTTTTCGAGCTACACAGAGCTCTTCTTTACATCTGGGGAAGGAAGCACACTCAAATTGCTCTGTGTAGCTCGAAAATTTGTACTTTCTACCAACAGGAGTTGCTCCAATAAGAGACATTACCTCAGTCTATCTGATTATATAATCACAGTACTTCTCAAATATCACAATACTCTTTTTTTTTAACCACACGCAGCAGAGAGACAGAAAAATATACAGTACTCAACATACTTAACTGGTGAGGGAGTCCAGGATACTTATAAGAATGTATATAGTAAACTGTACACAACACACGACATAAGTATACAACAGTACTGAAGTTGGGTACGTGTGAAAGACTAGTTTAATGTAACCTATTGTGTTAACTAGCTCCTGCTATTCTCTTCTATTACAGATTAAATAAAATCGTTACTATAGTTAAGAGTTAAATAAGTTATCGCCTTTGAAAAGTCTTCATATGAACATGTTACAATGAGTAATGGCTGACAAACTACAATAAAATGGAAGGTTCGATGTTAGGCAGGTGTTTGCTTTACATGCTTTAAAAGGTCAAGGCAGATACCTCCATAATTGACACATAAGTTGAAAGCAGGGAATGAAATAAAGCGACTGATCCCGCGCTGGAAATGCCAAAACTAAAGCAGACTGTCATAGTCCAGGAAACCCCAAGGTAAAAGCAGGAAAATATTAAGAAATAAACTACATAAGCCAATGTGTGATTTTTAAAGTAGCTGTAATTCCCTCCCTTCTTTGACATCACCTTTAAAATTTAGCATCCAGTGAAGTCAATATTAAAATGAGACTAAGAAGAAACATCTAAATTGAGCAATAGAACCCGATAAGCTCTTAAAATTGACAGAATGGTTCATCTTTATTTGGCTTCTACGAATTTAAGACTGGCCATCATGAAAATCTAATGGAATAGTTCATTTTCAATGGGTATTAATTGAGCTCTGAGTTTACAGCGGAAGTGAAGACAACACCTTCTAGGCCCAATCTATATTATGGTAAACCCATTTTGTCTGTACTACAAACTCTGATGGTATTCAAACACAAATATACTGATTTGAACACTGCTTACCCAAGACTTTCTAATACTTAAGAGGTTCTTACCATGCTGGCCTTGTTGGCCAGTTGCAGCTAGTATATCTGCTTCAACATGATCATCCTCTGGTAGGGGCCTGGTCCAGAAAAAGAAAGAGACACTTGTTGAAGGAAACACTTGCAAATTATTTAATGAAAAATCCCATATTCATCTTTAGACCAACACATATACACATTTTTTTTTTAATATATATAAAAACATGGGTTTAGAATCAGATTAAACATGTTTGTGGTCTAAACCAAGCTATCAGCCAAGCAGAGCATTACCATGGCCGAACAGTGATTTGCAGTTTTCAAGTGAGCCTTACCTACTGATGTTTAAAAAAAAAAAAAAAAACCAAAAACAAACAAAAAAACACACCACACACCCAAACCAGTAGTTACTGCCCGTTATTACTGCAAGCACTGGATTGTTCTATGTTCTTATTAAAAATGTGATGTTTTAGAAGTTAAGCAAGACCAGAAAAGTACCTAACTTGTATTTTATTATGAAGCACAGAGGGGCCTTAGAGGTAAATAATTTAGTTAGATGGTGCTTGAGAAACCCTATGTCCTAGTTTCCATCTAAGCAATCTTAGCACTAAGATGAAGCAAAAAGGCAGAAAGATATATATATAAAAATATTTTAACTGAATAGTTTAATTACAATTATTAAAAAACAAGATGCCACACAAAATTGGAGGCTAAAGTGAAGCATAAGGTTTCTTCAAGTCTTGGGCCAAGCCTGTTATGAAGCAATAAGAAAAAGAGCAAGATTGGATGAAGTTTTAGATGACAATTTATAATAAACAGTATATACATTTTTACTTCATAACAGCTTAAACTATCCACAGTGCACATTTCAGGAAAATTTACTGCCCTATTCTGAAGCACACCTGAAAGCTCCAATTTGAAGTTGTACCATCATATCAAGGATCAAGCTCAAAATTTGATCTGATTTATATTTAAGTCTTTTTCCCTACTTGCACAGTTTATGTAATTTCCTGGGGTGTTTTGGAAGTGGTTTAATGAATTTTCAAAAAGCTTGAAAGTGTAGACAGCCCAGAATTGATTTTCAACTTAATTGCCACCCAATGTATTTGAGCACATGATACTTTTTAGTCTTTGAAAGCATTAATAGGAATATGTAGCACTTCAGAATTATGCAAAGTTACCTTAAAGCTTTAAGGTATAGTTCTCATTGCATGAATGTGGGAAGTTCACAGACTAATATTCCTCCTTGCTTACATGTTGCTAATAATAAGAGCCCTTCCCTACTCATTAAAAGGCAAGTTCATCCATTAAGTTCTGAGACCCTTTAAGCCATACGATATTAGTAGAATTAGTTTTAAAAGAACATGTTGCTAGTAAGAGATCATATTAACATTAGGCATAAGGGCAAGTGACCCATACTGCCCAAGGAGCATACAACCACAAATATGCTGTAGAGGCAGGATGAATGCCTAGCTGGTAGACTGCAGTTGACAGCCTTTGTTTCTGAAGAGGAGCAATTTCAGTTTAACAGATTATTGGAAAAGTTTTACAAATAAAAAGAAACCATCTCTCACCTTGGAAAATCTTCATCTTGCCACTCTTCCTTAAATTCAACACCTTCCATCCTCAGCCTTGCCTCAATAGCTAATATGGACTCCTGGTGAGTCAGAACCTCTTGTCTTGGATATAGGGTGTTAGATGAGAAGAGCTGTGGACAAGACATTTTAAAATGTTTAATAATACTGCCATGTTCTCTCAATTCCCACCCACCCCCTCCGAAAACAGCATTTAAGTACTGACAGTGCACTAGACACACAAATGACAAATAAAGAACAGTCTATCCTAGAAGAGTAAGATAGTAAATGATCAGACAGAAAGGCACTAGGAGGGAGAACAGCCTTATGCTTAAAACACTGGACTACAGTTCACGAGTTCTGCATTCAGTTTTGCCACAAACTTCCTGTATGATGTTGAGCAAGAACCTACTCTGCTTCAGTGTCCCATTTTTAAAACAGAAATATACTTGTCTATCTCACAGGGATGTTGTGAGGATCTGACGTCTTGGGAGTTATACTATTCCATTCCTATCTGAGCAAGTACCTAAATACATCAAATGGAGATTACTTACCATATATACTTGATCATAAGCCGGTTCGTTTATAAACCAACCCCACCCAAGATAGATAAGTAAAAATGGAAAATTTTATAACCCGTTCATAAGCCGACCTTCTAATTCAGGGGTCAGCAAACTTTGGCTCCCGGGCCATCAGGATAAGCCGCTGGTGGTCCGAGATGGTTTGTTTACCTCGAGCGTCCGCAGGCACGGAGGTAAACCTAAGTAAACAGTGTCCCAGCACACCAGCTGCTTACCCTGACAGGCCGGGACAGCAACTGGTGGGGAAATTTTTTTGGTGGGAGAAGCTGGAAGTCAGGGGAGTAACCCCTGTGACCACCCCCCACATGACCCCATCCCTAGCCCGGGACCCCCACACTCTCCCCATCCCATCCCTTCCCACCTTATCTGGGGAGGATGTCTCTGATCTGGCTGGAGCTGCTCCGGCAGGCTGGGCAGCACAGCTGCAGCCTGCTCCGGTGGGCCAGACTGGGCGGCGCAGCCGCAGCATGTTCCAACAGGCTGGGCCGGGCGGCGTGGTCGCAGCCTGCTCGGGGGGGGAGGGGGGGGCTGAGCGGCACGGCTGCAGCCTGCCAGCCCCGGAGCTGCAGTTGCTTTGGAGGCTGGAGGGCGAGCAGTGTGGCCAGAAGTGGAGAGACTCTGGCCCAGCCTCTTCCCTTCTGTCTCTGCTGGCTGTGCTGCCTCCCCTTGCTCCCTCTGTTGGGGGGAGGGGCTGTGTCCCACCTCTCCCTTTCTATACCCGTTCATAAGCCGACCCCCGTCTCTGGTGCTTCCCTTTTTTACTAAAAAAAATTCTGCTTATGAACAAGTATATACGGTAAGTTTTATTTTATTTTTTTAATTGAGATGAGATGTCACGGGTTAGTGTTTGTGGGCCTTCAGTTTTCAGAAATTAGTTAACTGAAAACAGATATCCTAGCACACTGTTCCTAACATTGTGGGCAACATTATAAGAAATGAAGGAAACAATGAGAATGGCATGAATAGCAAGAGTGTAAGGGGAACAATGGGAAAAGAGACATCAGCAGATGCACAAACTGGGGCAACATTATGCAGAGAACTAAAGAAAGGATGAGGGCATCAAGCTTGATTTGTTAAATGAAGGAAAGCCAGAGAAGAATGATATGAAAAAGGGGGACAACATTTGATCAGGGGACAATTATGTTTTTGATAGATAAAACCAGTTCTCTTCAATGTCCCTGCCCATGATGGTATCTTCCATTCCTGAAAAGTGCACAGTATATCTGAAGAACATACTTAAGTATTTTTTTGGTCTGTCCGTTTTAGTTTCAAGTTGTAAAATATAGCAAGAAATTAGCCTTCTGAAGCACTGTTGGGCTGTGTGTCAGTTTCTGCTGTTCTAAATAAGATCCTATCTGCTGGATTTTGGAAGTTATCCTAGTGTTCAATAATAGTAAAATTCTGCTCTCACAGCCACAATCTAGCTCTCAAATCACACCTTGCCATCTCTACATGGACCTGCCTCACAGATGGGAAAGCAGAGTTTAGCCTACAGAACTGCAGAATGAAGGAATTAAAAGGGATATGAAAGAATGGACTACTTGCAATTGGTCACATCAAATGCTCCTGGGGAAGATGCCTGACACTAGCACTACATGGGAAATCTGGAGGCACGACTTTCTTAATTTTATGTCAGTCCCCTTGCTCTTCCCCCACCCCCCTTTTTGAAATTCTATTGGTTTAATTCAGCAAAATGAAAACTGATGTTGAATATGTAATGTCCTGTAATGCTGGTGATTTCTTGGAATTAGCTCAGCATAGCCCACTGAAAGTTTTAATATTGCTTTTCTTGTTCCTTCCTCTCCCCTTACTGCCATCATTGCAGTTTTATCTCACCATCTTACTTTACAAGATGAATTTTCACCACCTTTTCCCCTATGATGCCCCCCTAAAAAGCAGCAATGGTGTAAAGGAGGGAAGCATTATACAGAAGATTTTAAAACTTATTCAACTGTGGGAAACAAAGAACAGAAGATATGATTTTTTTTTTTCTGTCTTTGCAGTGCCTTTCGTTTCATCTCTGTTACAGGTGGTACAATCAACTGAAAATCTGTAACTACTGATGGTTTTAAGACTTCTCTAGAATCTTTACCACAATTCCATCTCTGAAAACAGCATTTACTTCACATGATTCAAGTTTACATGCTATTTCATAAAAAATTACTAATGCAAATATTAAGCTGATACACCTCAGAGTTTAGTGATGAGCTGACAGTTTTAGGGATAATTGCTAAAATGAGAATTGAGGAAAAATGTTACGTTGAAAACTTGAGAATCCTGGTAATTTTGCAAAGCCATACAATGTGTTTTGGACCTTCCAGATAATATAGATCAAACTGAACTAAAAGTTCTGGCCCAGTGAATTCATGTACTAATTTCAGTCCTCTTGGTAATATTTCTAAGCTTTTTATGCACCCCCATTAGATCCTCTTAATGATTTTGCTACTGTTTCTTTAGATTCTACAACTGATTGTAAATAAATCATAACTCATATTTAGAAAACCAAGGGCATTTTTAATGTTGTGTACTTCTTCCCAGATGTTAGTAAGCCGACTGTTGTATAATTTAATGTCAAAGCTAGTTAAGAAAAATAAGAGGTTCTTGTATAGCTGATCTAAGGATTTCTTGCCGTTCTGATTTCATAAAGGGAGAGTTCCTACGTGAATCAAAACAGTAGAGGATTCAGTCCTACCTGAAGAAAACTACTAGTTTTTATTTGTTAGGAAGTAAACTTTCAAGAGATTTTATTCTTGATAGTTAACAAGAAAAGGAGACATCAATACTAAAGCACATTAAGTTTATCAGCTCCTCAAAAATGCTGGAGAGAGAGAAAGGAACTAAATGATTATCTTTATTTCTAGGATTTGTGCTCACCTTTGATGTCTGTGACTTTGACAAAGGTGACTTACATATATGACACTGATTGGTGAAGCCTTTAACCTTTATATCTAATACACGATATAATAAAAAACTTTATAAATATTATATGACTATGTTGATGAACTGCAGACTACAGCTGGGAGTTAGGAATAATTTAACAGGTCTGATTCAGAATATTTTCCTGCATCTTTATAACTACGTCTCCTTTTGCATGTTAACTGATCTTGTTTTGTAAGCCGCAACAGGAATGCAAACATTGCTTCAATGTGGAAAAATATCACCTGTATATTTTTAAATTAATATCTGCTCACTGAAGCTTCCATAAGCTCCTAGCATTTTTGTAGGATCAGTCCAGATCAGGTGCCCAATTTGGACAAAAGTCATTCCACAATTTAGGCCAGAAAGATAAAATACTATCAATACAAAGGTAAAGCACCTGCACAAGAGGCGCTTTAAAAAAAGCTCTGCAAAGAACTAAAAGTCTGAAAGGGTCAGATCAGCATCTCCTATAATGTTGCCACTTGCAAATCATCTACTGCTTTGCCACATATCTATATGGCATCTATTCCTTCGATCTGACCCAGATGTTGGCTATTACATAGTTAATTTACTAACAAGTACCAACATGTTTGCTTAAAAACCCCTGAGAGATGCTCTAGCAGGCTGAACCTTTTTGGGAGACACTTCGCTAAGTGTCACAAGTTTGTCAACCCACATTGTCCAGCCAAATACTTTTATGGCAGACAGCACTGAAGTGATTCACCTGAGAATTAGAATATGAACTGAGAATGATTAGTACTAGTAACTGTGAAGATTATTATATCAAATAAATTTCGCTTGCTAGCTGTCTCCTAATTGTTCTGCTGATCATTGGTTAATACTTATGAGGAAACTGTACACCAGTTAGGTTGTGAAAAAAGATGTCAAGTATTACTGTAAAATATTAATAGCTCTTAGTAAACTGGATTACACCAACCCATTATTGCCACAAACTATCAAACAATAGAAAACTCCCAGTACACCTCTACCCTGATATAACGCGACCCGATATAACACGAATTTGGATATAATGCGGTAAAGCAGCGCTTCGGGGGGGCAGGGCTGCGCACGCCGGTGGATCAAACCAAGTTCAATATAACGTGGTTTCACCTGTAACGCAGTAAGATTTTTTGGCTCCCGAGGACAGCATTATGTTGAGGTAGAGGTGTAATTCTGGAAATGGTAATGAAGTTATTCTCTTCTGTCTCAGACAAAATTAAGCAAAGTCTTATGGTCTAGTTCTATTTTGAAGAGTGCCTTAAAGGTTTATTGGAATTCCACAATTGTCTCAAAAATCAGAACATTTTTTCAGATAATTAAATTTTTTAAAAGCAAACTCACTCTGGGACATTCAAATCAAGCTGTGTTGTTCTTTCAGGCTCACACATCACCAGTAACAAGGAGTCCCAAACATTTGGGACTTAAACTTAATCCTGGTGATGCACACAAACAGAATCTAGCTCAGAATCTCATAGCTATGTTGATTTTACAGGATTGACAGGAGTATGCAGCAGTAAGAACTTATCACTTAAGAAAGCATGAGATGTACAAGAGTCAAATTTATTGATTAAGAAGGTGCCATTTTCAAAGTCACTTCAGAGATAGACTGCACTTTGAGTTACATTCCACCACAA